TGTGACTTCGGGTCGGGGAGTCGAAGTGCATGTGTGTTTGTGTAGGTGTAGGTGAGTGCACATTTGTTTGCCTGTCTCTCCCACGTAACCTTATCTCTAGGCACGGAATCGCGTACACCACCCCTGATTGGTCGTATGGTTTTGCATAGTCCTTGCCGTTGAACAAGATTGACCGTAGCGTTGTTGTAGGTTTGTGGTCAATGGTGACACCCGGAGGACGAAGGATGCGATCAACGGCTTCTGATACCCCACGTATGCATGGTAATAAGAGTTTCCTTTTCTTCTCTTCATCTTTCGGTTTTCTTCTTCCACTAGGGCATGAATGGACGAAACTTTTGAGATATCCATTTGTGTGCAATTGATGGAACAGATGCATTCGTTCCTGATGCCGGAGTTCCTTTGTGCTGCAATGTGTGTCTGGAAGACGGAATAAAGTGTATGCACAGCTCCCAAGGGGTGATTGCTGTCTTAATTCAGCACCTGGTCTGTCGTGTCCGTGTTTCCGTCTGGTTTTCGAAGGATGCGGACGTCCAACAAAGGCAGCCTAATGTTGTTTTCCTCCTCGCGGTAAACGCTATTCCTGGCATAACCTTGTTTAGGGTATCACGGAATTGCTCGATTCTTTCTGCCGGTAGCACCGTAAAGGTGTCGTTCACATATCAAACCCAGAGGCGACGGTGGTATTCTGCAAATGCCTTGGTTTCGAATTGTTTCATCACCGCATCAGCTAGTAGGCCGGATATTGGTGATTCCATTGGAGTTCCCTTCACCTGTAGATATATCCTCCCGTCAAACTGTATGTTTCCATGTAGAGTTTAAGCAGCTCCATGATGTCAGTCCCATCACGACGAGACTGCACCCTGACGTGGTGTGATGGTTTGCGCACCTCAATGACCCTGCGAGCTATGCAGGATGGCTCCTCACAGCTGCGGATCCAATCATGCCTAAAAGGTCAACGGGTAGAGGCTAAACGAAGCTCTTTCTCAAAAAGCTAGCTTATTGGGCACCTCCTGGTTCCTTCTATCCACACCCGCCCCTGAAGGGGTCACTCCAGCAAAAAGATACGGTGATGGGCAGTTTACCGGTTAAAAAACCCCGTTATATGGACGTAGGAGCGGGGTATCTGGGCTTCCGCTGGATGGTGGGAGACGTCTTTGTACTTCATTGGACAGCTACCGCCCGCCCAAGCTGTGCAGCCCCCAGCCAATAAGGTGCTTTCCCGTCCACGTTCCGCTTGTCTCATTGGG